AAGGGTCCCCCCATGCCAGGGCCTCTGTGCATCCCCCTCCCCACATACCAGCACCCCACAATGTCCCAGAAGCTGGGAATGGGTGACAGGGGATGGATCACTCCATGATTGCCTGTTCTATTCATTCCCTCTGGGGCACCTGGCACTGGCCACTGTCGAAGACAGGAGACTGGGCTAGATGGACCTTTGGTCTGACCCAGTATGGCCGTTCTTATCCCCCGGGCTCTATGCTCCCTCTCCCCACACATACTCATCTCTTTACCTCTGGGCGATCAATCACGCAAGGTACCAACCTGCCAGACGCCCCGGGGCCAGGGCCAGAGCTGAGCTGGGGGCGGTGATGCTGGAAGGTGCTGCCAGCGCCCGGCTCTTTGATCCACACAGACCAACCCCTGCCATCCTGCAGCCGATCAGCTGCAGCTTCCCAGAGTCAGCATGACACAGAGAAACGCCACCAAGCCGATCAATTCACCGCCCTGAACACACCTTTTCTCCTCCCTCGGATCCGCTCTCCGCAGATGTCAAACCCTCAGTCCCTTCTCGGGTGTTTCCCCCACACGCCTTAGGGGCTTCAAGGGGGTTGTCCCTCTTCTGCCTCCAACAACCACATCCCTTTAAGAAATTCACTAACCCCTCCCACCCCCCACCAAATTTCCCTTGGACACAAGGCACCACTTACCCTGATCCCAAGCAGCTGCAGCGAGCTAAATGCATCGCACTTGTTCCCTGCAGTGATTGGTGGCACTGCAGCATTTCAGCCCCTCCCACCTTTTATCTCCTGAGCCCGCCCACTCCTTCTCCCATTGGCTGTTCAGGATGTCGAGCGGTAACGGCGCAAGGGGGGCCGTGGGAGAGGAGGAGAAGGAGGAATGATGAATGGACAGAGTTGGTGATTAACTCTGTATGATCTCGCTTGTCTCCGCTAGCCCTGCTGGGAAGCTGCTAAGCACTGGAATAAATTGCCTAGGGAGGTTTCATTTTCCCCGGGGAATTTATCTGTGTTACCACAAGAAGAAACAGGTGAAAATCAGGGCAAAAAACTATTATTAATTTTTCTGGGTGAATATTGGGGGTTTGTTTTGGGGGCCGGAAAGACAGGAGGAAAAGTATTCTGTAGATTAATGCTTTGAATTCCGTTCATCAATGCGGTTTGCTGCAGGACTGAAAGGGAACTCAAAACACAAGGTCACCTCGGAGTCTAAGAAAACAATATGTCTCTAATCCCCAAATAAAACTTTTCATTTGAACCAACAGTCACTGTTGTAGACTTAGAACTATTAGCCTAGAACTGTTTACATTTAATAATTGGGCTGCACCATTTGTAGCGCCTACACTCAACTTCATCCTTTTCTCCTGGTTTTGTTGTTTCTCCCCAGCTCAGTAGTTCTTATTCCAGCCCTGCACTGAGATCACCCTTCCCCCAGCCACTCCCTGCGGGCAGAGTCTGAGAGCAGCTGGTTTGTAGCTTCCTTTCCCAGAGCAGCTGTATGTACCTGAGCCATTATTTAAATCATTCCCTCCCCACAGGTCACTGAGTGCCACAGGACAACAAACACCAGATCCCAGCTGGTGTGTGTCAGTGTCGCTCCATTGGAGTCAATGGGGCCAGATCTCCAACTGGTGTGGCCACACCTCCATCCCAGACACCCAGCTGGTCTGAAGGAGAATTTAACCAGTTGTACTCCTTCCTGATTAGATTACTAGCTGGGATCAAGTGACTGCAGTGGGTCTAGGCTGAGTTACATGTAATTTTACATAATTAGATTGTGGAACTCATTGCCACAGGAAGATGTCGGGGCTAAGAACTTTGCAACATTCAAAAAGGATTGGACCCTTTTATGCATAAAAAGAGCCCCCAGAGTTACAATAGTTCATGCTAACAAATTGTCGCAGGGAACCTCCTGGTTCAGGGCATAGCTCAGTCTAACTATTAGAGACCAAGGTCTGACCTAATGTCCCACAGATTATCCCACATCTCCTGCTGCACCTACATTGGCCTTTGAAGCATCAGTTACTGGCCAGAGGCAGGGTTCTGGGTTACATGGACCTCGGATCTTGTCTGATCCATTCTGGCAATTCCTATAGGAACTGCCCCGAGTATAACAGATGCAGTGACTTCTGCCTGAGTCTGCAGACAGCCTGAAACAATTACTCTGAGATATGAACTTATCTCCACTAAGTGAGATGATTCCTTAAATATTAATGTTGTGAGTTATGTCACTGCTTGTTAACACCTGGGAACAAGAAGAGGGACAATTAATGTTATGAAAATCCACATTAGCAATTCTTCTAGTGAGGAATGATGGACTAGCTGAGGGAGGGAGCAGACATGGAGGATGTCTCAGTTAAGATGCAGAGGCTTTTAACACCAATTCCTTTGATTACAAAAAGGGGAACAATTAGTTTAATTTCCCTGACGTGGGAACACGGGGAGTCAGGCTGGGTTTCGCACCAGTTTAACGAAAGGGATTTAAAAACGCACCTTTTGTGAAACCAGCACAACCCTGATCCCAGATGTGACGGGTTGGATCACAGAAACCCCCTTGGGAGCTGCCACCAGATGTGCAAAGACTACCCCTGCTCCTGTTTTCCCTGCCAGCTCAGGACTCCAGCACCCTGTCTTGCTGAGCCAGACACTCCTGTTTGGCTCCACACACAGATCCAGGGTCTGAATCTCCTGTCCCAAAGCTGCAAGTTTACCTGAAAACAGCTCGCAGTAGCGCGCTTGTCTTTAGCACTCAGATGCCCAACTCCCAGTGGGGTCTAAACCCAGATAAATCCGTTTTACCCTGTATAAAGTTTATGC